TTTACCCAGGATGAACAGGGCAGGACATCGCCATTGCCCACATTGTTATTTACTCACAGCCATGTTCTCTGTGGCGCCATGGTTCTGTGGCTTTAGCCCAAGAGAGTGAGCCGTAATAAGGGAGTTTGTCTGGACTACTCCTGCGGGGGCCAAACCTGGGGGTGCGCTGGGACGGAAGACGATATGGGGCTGTTTTTCCAAAGGAATGTGAGTGTCATAAGCGCTTTAATTTTCCCTCGGCTCTTGTTTCCTTGTGCATGGATTCTGTCGCACGTTCGTTCAAGCTGGAGATGTCTACCGCACGACTGATATGACGGTGGCGACCCCCACAAGTTCGAACACGGCGCCCATCTGGGAATGCCTAATAACACAGATGTTAAAACATATTTAAGGTATCCGTATTTAAGGTATCCGTTTAGTGTTGTCGATGGTGCTTGAGCTCCTGCACTGTAGTATCCAATCAGGAAATCCTCCCCCAGACGCCATGGCCGCAAAGCAAACCTGCAATCACCGTCAGATTAATTGGTGAAGACTATTGTCATGCACTGTACACTCAGAGAGCAACGGGTGCCGTAGGTCAGCTCCTCATCAGCCGCTATCCCTTTTGAGAGCAACAACATCCATGCTAAGGCTCCCAAACGAGCGCCGAAAAAGTTGCACAAACAACCCTTACACGAGCAGTGATCCGTGACCAAGAGCGCACACATATTGAAATTGTACATTGCATGGCAGTTCCAAAGCTGTCAGCAAATGGGATAAGTTCCCGGGCTACGCGATTTGCCAGCCCCCTTCAATCAACCTGAAGGCTGACTGGGGCCCTAGGGCCAGAGCGCTGTGAGCGCCACGGTTTCGCAATTGGAGGCTTAACCTCGACACAGTAAAAGAGATCACTGGAGCGCTCGTGTACTGGCACCGGTTTCGGGGCGCTGGCCGCACAGCAGCATCGACGCCTTGCCCCAGCCAGATCCGGTGCTTGTTTTGGGAGTGGGGAAAGGTTCTTGGGCCCAGGCGAAACACCAATCAACCAACACATTTATGCAATTGCATAAATTGCATTGCATGTTCTGTTGCAACAGAAGCAGTCAAGGAACCACACCAAGTCCAGGCTTGAATTTTGGCTTAATTTGAAGCTCCACATTTCTGCATGCGGCGAATAGTTAACTGTGGGATCTCCTTGACATGGACTATTGCCCAAAAAAGCACAACACAAGAGTCAGTCTCTGTTTGACAGTGGTCTCTTTCCGCCGGATGTGCACACTACCAACTTGCATCCCATGGCTTCCATCTTTGGTACCTACCGTCTCCACCTTTCTGACAATGCCAACATGGCCATCGCCTGAATTGACTATCATGCATGACCGTTGTCAAATTCCCGTTAGTGAGTAATGGTCGTGTGGTTGCTTCACTCAACAAGCCACACATGAATTACACATAGCGACTAACTGGGTGAGACACGCTTCGAGTTATATCGCACAGGTTCCATCTTCGGTCTCCATCGCCTTCACCGTTCTGACAATGCCAACATGCCATGGTCTGAATTCACTGCCATGCACGGCCTTTGCCAAATTCCCGTTAACAACTAATGGTCATGTTTTTGCTTCACTCAATGAGCCAAACATGACTTACAGATGGCGACTGACTGGGGACACAGCACCGTAGCCAGGTGATGAGTGAACGCGGACACATGTTGTGTGGTGCTCACTGCAGCAATGCTCATCGAATTATTTTATTGAGGTTGACGGGTGAGCAAAACATTTGTGGGGAGCTGATGCCCCATTGCTTGGAATTCTGCGCTCAGATTGATTTAAAGCTGAACTCGCAAAGACAAAGTTTCTGCCAAACATTTTGAGGATTATCGTAGCATATAGAAATTCCGTTGAACAAGGTGACTCGGGGATTACGCGCCAATAGGATCCGTTTCCCAAGGCCATTTGTTGTTGGAGTTCTTAAGACGTAAAGAACTGTGTGGCAAAACAGACGTATGCTCTGCGTGGCAAATGGAATGGGTTCTAGGCCAAGAACCACCCAATTCTGCCGCAGTTTAGGTCTACATGATAACATCTAGAACGCCAGCAAGCATGGAAAACGTTCGGCGGCAAAGGTAGTGTGCCGGTGTGCCGATACACTGTAACAGTTGTACTTCCTCCGTCCAAGATTAAATTGCAGTTATGAACCGTGGGCCTGGAAAACCTACCAAATCATCTCAGATTTGCACAGAATTTGGCCAGAATGTTTGAACTTGAGTCTATTTTTTGCCCCAAATTTCTGAGTCAATTGGTTGAGTATTCAATCCGCAATATTACTTTGAACACACGTCACTCAGCCAAGCGTTTCAAGGTGGCTCCGAAACAAGCCGCTTTCGAGCCATGGACCATGCCACCTTGCAATGCCCCTCACCGCGCAAAGTGACGCGACTTAGAGATGCGCCTTAGACTGCAGGTTGACACAAAGATCCAAAGCTGGGGGGCAGGCCACCAGGTTGTCCCATAAGGCGTGATCGAGGAACTTGCCTGCCTTTTGCCTCCATCGCCATTCCCCGAACTGCGCGCCGATTGTGCCAAGCAATCTTTTCAACTCTCGCTGCAAACTGCTCCCGCCGAGTCTTGGGACGTCCGCGGTTCCCTTGCCATGTGTGGGACAGGTTTGTTCCTGCGGGATCGGTGATGACACTCTGGAACGGCTTACCGATTGTCTTAATTGTTTAGCGTGAAGTCTCGAACCCATGGGCGGGATCTTCCATCATGCGTTTCCGGACGCGCTGGCGGCCTACCCTCTGCTTCTATATCTCTCTTGCGACCTGCAGTCTAAAGAGCGTCTCCAATTTCTATCACTTGGCGCGTGGCGGACACCATTATGTGACATGGTCCAGGGCCTGAAAACAGGCGGTTTCAGCGCCACCTTGAAAACCTACGATGTTTCTGAAAGTGGGGTCTATTTAGAACGCCATTCCAGATTGATTACTGGGCTGATTAACCCAAAAACTTGGGAGCACAAGCCATACCTAAATTAAAACGTTGTGGCAAACTTTGGTGAAATTCTGAGATGTTTCAGTGGGTTATCTAGGGCCATAGATCATAACTGTAATTTAATTTGGGACGGAGGAAATATGTTGTAAATTGCAAATTGACGCGGTCATCTGGGGATCTGGAAAGTCACTGATCCTTCAAAAAGATATGGTTGACGACCAGGCAAAAACCAACAAAGGGGTTAGGAAACAAAGTTCAGGGGTGAAGCTTGGCGCAAGAAGGTCAGGCGATACAGCTTGTAGGGCGTCCAAGGAAATGGAACCTTTTGAAATTACACAAAGAACTTGGAAAGCACTTCAAACCGTTTGGATGCACAATTCCGAGTTGCAACCCCTCAGTATCATTTTGTGTGGGTGTCTGAGATTTTGTATCTTTCAACACCACGCATCAGTGCATATGGGCTGCTTGGTCACGAGCGGGAGTCGCAAACAACGAGAAATGGCTTCTGTGGAGCGTCGTTTCGTATACCTGTGTCGATGCCGGGATGAACCGGCAACGTTACCTAAATAATGTTCCATTGGGTGAGGCACACCGTTGGTCTAATGCACGATGTGCACCTCTGGCAATTCGAAGCGGCCATCATTACTGCAGCAGTGCGTCCCAAATGCCTCGAAAGAAGTGAATCACCTTTCGAGGCCTGAGAGCGGAGCACGTAGAGCTGTGGCACAAGCCGCTACGCCCAGTAGAGGCTTGCGTGAGGCGGTCGGGCAGGAGGTCCTGGTTGGCGGAGCCAGCGAGTGTGTCTCGTTGTCCGCGGTGCTCCTGCACATCCCATGCGATATCGGAAGGAGGCACGGGCCGTGGGAGCCAGTGACCGGCGATTACCAGCAACATGATTTAGGAGCTACACGAAATTCGTCAATGTGATGTTGGGGTCATACCATGTTCATTTCGAAACGGTAAGCGTCACATTGAGGTTAAGGCGAGGGGGAGCTGCTAGGCTAAGAGATTGAAGGAGGCCTCCTGAATTGCCTCAATTGACAACTCTATGGCTGCCCCAATCGCCTCCCATCGCTTCAATTTCCCCGTTGTTCAATCGAACATCGCAACCGCAATGCTTGCTGTTTGCTTTTCGTGAATACTTGCTAATGCTTTGTCTCACTTTTAAAAAATGTCTCCGGGTTGTTCTGTCATAGACACAAGAGATGCACGCTATTTGTGTCGCCCACCCAACGAGGGGGTGGGATGGGGGGGAGATTGTCACAAGGCTAGAATAGTGAGGTTTAAACCCTACGTTTCCTTTGCCTTCAAGATGATGCAGCAGGAGCCCCGCGACGGAACAAGACGGATACAACAGAAAAAGCAGCAAATGTCCGCGCAGCGTGTCGATCATTAAATACTGGTGTCCACACCAAGCCACCCAGAAAGCGAGAATAGCAGTGAACCGAAACTTTCTTCCAAACGTTCAGCAAAGGAGGATAAAAAGCAAGGAGACGGGGGCAAAACTTGACGCTCGCCCCTGTCGCTGGTAGCCAAAACGTTTTCGCGATTTCAATTGTGATGCCCTTTTGACCCTAATCGCCCCCGGTGCCACAATGTACTGGGCGGCGCCCGGGGATGTAAGGCAGAAACCCTCCGCACAGACTCGGATATAGGGCCGTTTCACCCCGCATTGCCTATATCCATTTCGGAAATCTCGATTGCTGTCGAAAACACCGTTAACTGCCAACCACTTTCCATTCTGTCGAACCGCGTTCGACCATGTCACATCCACGCCTTGCAGCAGCGCCAGGCGGGCCCCGCCACGTCGCATCCGCCATGGGTCAGCTTCCCTCGACTGATCCAGGTGATCCTGTCACCATTCTCCGCCTCTCGCCGCACCTCAGACATTGCCTCCACCCCAGAAGCCCTGTTCAGGGCCTCTTGGCTTTCGCGCTTTCTGAAACAAGCCCCTCGGGGGCTGGAAATTGAGCCGTTTTGGGCTCTGAATCCGCTCCGAATTAAACACCGGGGGGCGCGCATCCGTGCCCCGGGATGCCCATGGGTTGCGGGAGGGGGGATTTGCGGCGATTCGATCTGGGGAGGTCATGGAGCGCGGCATTGGTGGTGGCGGTCGCCATGAGCTGCGCCGCTGGGGCCATGGGCGCGCGGGGCAACGGCTTCGTGCGCGTCATGGGCACGCGGTTCGTGGACAAGGACTGCGAGGAGTTCAAGTACAGCGGCTTCAACAGGTGACCAGGAGGGCTGGGTGTGGCTCGGTGCGGGAGGGGTGGGACGCCATATTGGCGGTTGGTACGGCAATCGGGCACCGATGATGCACAAATGCCTGCTGGTGTGGTCCGAGCTTGGTAGACCGCGATGGCGTGGTTCGCCGGCGGGCGCAATGCTCGAGTGCGCGACGGGGGGCCTCTCCATGGGGGTGAGCGATTGGGGTGCGCTGCGTCCGGCATGGGGATGTGGTGCGCGGGGTGGTGTCCTTGGGCGCTGGGTGTGTCACTCGAGGCTTCGGGGCGGCTGTCGGCGAGGTGGCAAGTGCAGCGCGCTGACAGGCATGCATTTGCATCCACGACTCAGTCCGCCAGCGTGTTCTGATATGGAGTGCTGCACAGTGGGGATCCGGCATCAGCCCCCATGGTAGAGGGCAAAAGAAATTTCGCTCGAACGTTCCCATTGAAAACTCAATCTGGGGTTCGTGATGATGTCGAATTGGGCGCTTGCTGGTGCACAGGGGGCGTGCTAGTGTGGCTGCCTTTGGGTCGCAAGTGAGCACATGGAAAGGCCACCAGCCTGCGCTTGTTCAGCGCCAAGGCAACAAAAGAGATGCATGCCCACTTATGGTGAACAACATGAACAACATGTGTTGCGGAGCGTAATGCCTTCCATGTGTCGCGTTCATGCAAAGCAAGTAATGGTTTCACATCGAGGCACGGTGTCAGATGCAGTCAGCTACCAAATCATGCCATGATTTGATTGCTGACCGTATCCGATACCATTGCAACCTGTCCAAAGAAATTGGCATGGAACTGACGAGGTCATGGCGTGCGAATAACCGCAGTAAGAGCGCGGTCACTGGTTGCTGTGTGTAGCGAACTGATAGGAAATCGATACCTGTGCCGCATTGCGGCATACTGTGGTGAATAGAGCGTCATCGCCTTGTCAGTGCCATGCCAATTTCTTCGGGCAGGTTGTAGTCGAGCATACCATTTATCGTGGTGAAAGTGCAGCTTCTAATCAGCGAAGAGGCCGCTTTCTTTACTGTCGACGTCGCCGTGCTTTGCAAACTGCTGACAACCGCAGGGCATTATTGCAACCGCCATTTTCTCAAGTGCGAGTAGCCACATGGAAGCCATTAACAGCATTGCAATGTGCCCTTGTGCGATGCGAAGTTGGGAGCTGATGGAAGCTGCTGCTGGAATTGAGACATCGCTGCCAGAAGACATGAGCCACTTTGAGGGTCAGACCCTGGTGCAGTGGGTATTCGAAATGGCAGCAGAACAGCAACTCCTTGTTGGAAGATTCTTCGCACACGGGCATGCTTTCGGAGGTTTGCCTCTTCAAACTGAACCAGGCAGGTGGCATCCGAGTTTCGTCAGCTGCATTCAAACTGGAGCTAGCTGAGGCATTTCATCACAATATCAGATTTCATGCAAGGGATTTGGATGTCCCGATGTTGCATCCAATGCTGTCAGTACAATTACAAACCATACACAGCAGCGTTGCTGGGCGATTTGGATAAAGTGTCATTGCATTATTGCCTGTGCAAGCTGAATTATCTCGTCACGTCAGTTGACGAAATAATGTACCAGACATATGTTCCATACGTTCCAAACTGTTAAATGCAGAAAGACCATTTTTCGGCCATCTGATCATATGTTCATGACGTGTTCCTGTAGTCCATAGTGAATCGATGTGTTGAATTGTTTTGAAGCCAGATCTGCACGAACACAAGGAATGTTTGCAGATTTTGGTGCAATTTATATCTACAAGATTACCTCCTTGTGACATGCAATGGACATAATTACTGAAGGGATCAGCGTTGTCAATGTTGGTGGTGCGTTAGCCCCAGTTTGTCCGGCGTTCGCGAACCTGTGAAATGCTCTTAAGCCTATGTCCCCAGATCGCTGGCCGATGCTGGAGTACCCTATGCCGGCTCTCCATAATGCGCTGCCTGTGACGCTAAGGCGTTGTGTCTTCTGTGCAATTCAGGGATCTATAATGAAGTGGCTCTCCGAGGTTTAGATGAAGTGGTAGCTGAATCAAGAAACAAAGGTGTCAAAATGATACTCACCCTTACGGATAACTGGCAATCCATAGATGGCAAAAAAGCGGTGAGTCAGCATATTTGGTTCGCGTTTTCGGCGTTGTCTAAATGTGCCTGTGGTATTGAGACTCATGCGCAATACCTCGATGTCTACATTCTCGTGCAGCTGTCAAATCATGGCAATGTACCAGCGTCACTTGTGAGTGGGTGCTGGGCGCAGAGTACAAACGCAAGTGATAGACCCTAGTTCCCCACACCTAGGGTGTATTGTCTTCCCATATGGACAATATTGAAAGATGCAAATGCTTCGCTTGTCTGATTGGATCTGCAAAGATCGACTCCTGTCCCTCCGTTATCTTGGTGCTCATTGCATTCCATGAATGGAACGTTGGATAAGCATGGTTAATTGTGCAGAATCTGCAGGAACTCTGAGCGCCATGATTTGTCCACTCATTTCAGACAAATGAAGCCAGCAGAACTCAAAGTGGGACACATCTCCATCATCAGTGCACTGGCAAATTGACTGCCCCGGTTTCGCATCGCAATCCCATGGTAATGGTGCTGCAGTACTGACGTAAATTTCAGCAACTTACTTACAATTGTTTGCCATCAAAAGCGAGCTGTGCAGCAAGGGGAACAGTTTCCAGCAGCGTCTGCTACTCTGCAAGCTGCCACGTGTCTCATTGCTACAGCAACTGTCCTTTGCAGTATGCTGACTGGGCGGGGCTGAAGCCGGATGCATTTTACACGGATGAGACAATAAAACAATGGTTCAGGGACCACATTACCTTCATGGTCAACCGGGTGAACAGCGTGACTGGTGTCCGTTATGGTGACGACGACTGCATTTTCGCCTGGAATCTCATCAACGAAGCGAGGTGCGACTGCGATGTCCATGCTCCAGACGAGGCGTGTGAGCCTCAGTGCACAGACGACATTCAGGTGGGCAGAGAGAAGCAACGCATGAAAACAAGCAATTCGCTGGTGTCTAGCTGAAGAAGGCGCTGCCATCCCTGTCTGCCCTTGGCCAACGTTGTGAAGAGGAAATTCTCAAAACTGTCCATGATTGTGTGACGCCGTCCGCAGCATTGGCCGATTGATTTGCAACAAGTCAAAATGAAATTTAAATGAATTGGCAAGGCGAATAAGTCGTGGTTTTTGGGATACGAGCTTGACAAGCCATGTGTGATTTTGTGCATGTTGCAACCGCCAGCAATTGCTGACCCCAGACTATCGCCACTTGTGCAGTGATGCTGATCACCTATCCAGGCAGATGCTCTGCACGTATTCTGGTCTAGTGTAGGATGTCTAAGTGCACCTCGAGGACTCATTCTGTATTGCTCTTGCCCCAAAAGGTGCTGTCAGCAAGGCACACCGACATGGATGCTGGGCGACAGTGATTGTGAAGGAATGATTTCGAAACCTGAGCCTGCATTTTTGAGGGATGAAATCAGTGCGTTGCCCTGAAGACGGGGCTGTGTGCCGCAGCACTTCAGAGAGCCCTCCGATAATGGCTCTGGGCGCCCCTGTGATCCTGCGTTCTGTCTGTCCTGGTGACGCCCAAACGCTTGGCAGTTTCTAGACTCGACGAGTCCAACTCGCATATTATGCTACTTTGTTAAAGCAGCCATAACAAATGGCAATACTGAATTCCCAGAGGCCAGTGAAATCCAACTGCTACTTTCATTTGGTTCTGTAACTCCTCAATGATCAGCATGCAACAAGATGAGAAAATGAAATTGCCTCTTTTCCATTGGGCGGTGCCCTTAGGATTGAATTTCTCGGGAATTTCTGAACTTGCAGGCGTGGTACGAGGAGATGTCGAACTTCCTGAAGCTGCAGGACCCCGTGCACCTGGTGTCTACCGGGCAGGAGGGCTTCTACGCCCTCAACAGCGGCCGCCAGAGTGTCAATCCAGATTTCTTCATGAACAACCCTCCTGACGAGTGGTGGGCGTCCAAGTCAGGACAAGACTTTGTGAGGAATCACAACATCACGGCAGTGGACTATGCGTCGATCCACAACTGGCCGGACAATTGGGCGGTGAGTTTTCTTAGTGCGACAGCTGACGTGCCGTTTCATGTGTCGCAATGTTTTTGATTGCCGCTGCCATTGGGATGTCCACAGAGAATGGTAGATTCCTGGAGGATGTTGCACTCTCTTTTTAGCATGCGGTATCACCGAACCGTCTGGGATAGTCCCAGTGATGGGTCCGATGATCGGCAAATTTGTACAATGCGGATCACGTGTGTTCTTAGGTATTTTTGTCTTGCAGAATAGTGCATACAGTTGGATGAGCCATTGTAGACAACTGTTGAAGCACATTGCGGCACAAATGGCAACAGTGGGGCTGACGAATCGAACGTACTGGGTGGTGCAGTCAGCTCTTTGCTGACGCCTATCAACCACTAATAGAAGCTGCCAAGCAGGGAGGTGGTGATGAGTAGAGGTTCATTCTGAAGCCGCGATGGATGATAATATTATTTCGTTGTCGACTGTCGAACACGTTGTCCAGCTGGATTATTATCGTCAATTTAAGTGCACAGCACGACAGTGGAAACTCAGCGCAATGTTCTGCACGGAAAGCCTTGATGCTGCGGCGCCCAACATTCGACAGCCACGCCGCAAATCGCCACAAGCACAAAGATTATGCCTGTTTTGACACTTCTGCTCCACTGCGGCTGCAACCATTCAAAGTTGTTAGAGATCACCGCCACCATTGCGCCACCCAGGGGTGGTGATGCCATGCTCGTGGCGTGCTGCAGGCTCAGACCATCGAGTTTCAGGACCAGTGGGTCCGCGAGCACATTGCAGATAGCATCGCCCTTGGGAAGCCTCTCGTGGTGGAGGAGTTCGGGAAAGCCGTGGATGCAGACGACGAGGAGCTTAGAAGATCCGTGCGTGACCCGTTCTTTGTAAATATGTATGAGCTATTTCTGTCGGAAGTTAACAACGGATCTCCTCTAAGTGGTAAGTGGGCAGATGGCTGCACTTGCATCCGTGGTGCGCATTGACGCCCAGAGCACAGTACTGCAGTCGTCCTCCTCGTTGCGACAATTGGTGCAGAGTCAGTTGAATGTAAATCAATGGAATGCAGTGGCGTCGAGGGCGACTGTTGACCGCTTTGAAGGGACCCAGGTCTAACATTAAACCAAGAAGTGACAAAACTTGCAAAAATTTATCAACAAGACAGAATTAATGCACGATTTTTTTTGTTTGTTTGGCAAATGGAGACGAAATAGGTCAGGCTTGTTGCAGCAGATTCAATTATTTAAATCATTTAATCGTCAATTATCAACTCAGGGGATGTGGTGGTAGAATTTATCAAGGAAGCGCCGCTAAAGTGGTACCGACGATTCGTAAAAGGGAATCACAGCTTTACAGTGCATGATGCAGTTGGATGCATGCGTACAATTGTCTGGTCTAAAGCAAGAGTTGGAATTCATGTAAGAAAATCATTGCTGCCAATGTTTGGCTATTTCGATCCTTGTCTGGAAGGAATCTCCGATTGGGCAAGCAGAGGGAGAAGTATATTTTTGGTGCATCGCTGACAGCGACTCGCTGTATTCTACACCTTGGAAGAAACTCCTAGGCACGCAGGGATGGCCTGGTCTTGGCATATTCAGCCCCAGGTACACCTACAACATGCCTGGCTCCTCTGTTGGCCACTTGGGCTGTGATTTATAAGATGAACGCATCATTGGCATAAATTGCATGTTTCACACAACTCAAGGCAGTGCACTGCCACGAGCTCGAAGAATTCCATCCAGGGAGTTCCGAAAAGCATCCATGGGAAAGTGTATTAACTTGCAGTAGTTTGCAGGCAAAACACAAGAACAACTAAAACCTGGACGAAATGGGAGAAGAGTGTGACTCGTGGCCGACAGTTTTCATCACATTTTTAAGCAGCGAGTGCCCCTCTGCAGGCGTTGGATTCTGGGAATTTGATGCCAACAACAACGGCGACCCTGGGAAGTATGGTGTACAGACAACGCATGGCACCTGGACTGACATAGTCCTTCCCAGTTCACAGGTGCTGGGGAACATGCTAGCCACACTTCCACTGGTTGAGAATTGCCTTCCAGGTGCGGCTCCCACACAACAGGGCAGTTTCGTTTTTGTTGTGGATGAGGGCGTGTGAGAAGTGTGTGAATCGGTGAATTTGCTGAGAGGAAGACCCGTAGCGTCCTGCCTCTGGAGGCTGCCCATCGGATCACATTGCCTGGAGTCAACGCAGAACTCAATGGAGCAGCTGTGATTTATGCTGGTGGAAATACAACAAGAACTTCCAGAAACGACTTCAGCCTGTGTCCTGTGTCCAATCCTGGCATTTTGGCTGTAAGCAAAACTGCGAAGACTCGAAAACCAGAAAGAATGAGATTTTCCAGATGTCCTCGGTCCATCGACTTCTGCCTTTGGTCCTGTGCCCCATTCTGACATTCTGGCTGAAAGAAATCAGACTTCCCAAGTATTTTGGCTTCCACAGGAGAGATACGGGCCGTGGACGCTCTGGTCATGGATCCCCCGTCCGATTCGTATTACATCAGCGCCGGGCCCAACATTCTGGACGCTGTGGAGGGCAAGGAAATTTCTTCCACGTCAGGCATCAGCACTGCGAGAGAGTGCGCCGAGCTCTGCGACTCAAACCGCAAGTGCGCCGCCTTTGCGTATAATCCCCAGCAGGTAGGCTGTGCGCGAGAGCATGCGCCCCTGATTTGCCCGTGCTGCACCAGCGTCTCCTAAACAGGCAAGCGATCGGCATGTGGTCTAACCAGCAAGTCACTGCGGCCACATGCCTAGGCACAGCTCTCCTGTGCTTCATCCTAAACAATTGCACGGCCAAGGCATGCTGCACGAATGGGCCAAGGCATGCTGCATGAATGGGCCGTGGTCTATGTTTTCGTTCGCGGTGTCTTTGGTATGGTTTTGAGAACATGCAATGAGGATTCATCTGGTCCTGCATGGTGTCATGGGTGGGTACAAAATCTGGGCCGACACCAGCCAGTTTAGTGCAATGAATGCCCAATTCAATGCACGTTCATGACAGCTGCGCTGCACTCAAGCGCCACTGATTGCGGCCCTTGGCAATGTGCAGGAGGGTGGCGTGTGCTCTATCAAGAAGCGCTTGAAAAAGAAGGAAAGTTCTGGGGGCAGTCGTTGGAATGTCGACGGCTGGCAGACGTTCCACAGGAAGCTCGGGGGAAGGGTGTGCTCCACAGACGGATGCCAATTCTGCACAGAGGAGGACGTGTGCTTGAAGTGCAACAGCGGGAGTTTGCTGTTCAGATCCGCCGGGGGCATTCTGGCATGCCAGCCTTGCGATACGGCGCCAGAAGCAGTTCGAGCAAAGAGGGAGGAATGCCTTGTGCCAAATATTGCCTGAAGGACTCAAGGAATGATTCACACATCATTCTGCAGCCACCCTCACAGCTTTGTTCTGCACTGATTTCCCGCGAACAGAAGGGCTGGATGAGCGACTGTTGGATGAGAGCGTTTGGATCGTATGCCTGGATAACGAGAGAAAAACAGGGGTCGGAATGATCGAAAGCACTGAGAAAGTAGTGGTGCAGGTGTGTGTGTGCTGGTGGAGCACTGGACAAGTAGCACGTGTACCTGAAGGTTTCAATCCGCAAATGCAGGCACCTGATAGTTTTGCAGTTGGCACAGCGCTGATTGGAGGTTTGCATGGATTCTTTTTGCAGCTTGCGGCCAATCAGGACAGTTGGGCGTCTATTGCGTGCACATTGAGGTGCTGGGGCCACATAGGTGGCATCAAGCTGCCGTGGCATTCAGAATGAACTTCTAGGGTCTGACCGTCCACTGCAGATATATTGGGTTGCAATTCAGTTAGTGGTGTTCAACGAATTGTAATTGACCATGCCTTCTCTTTTACAGAGAGTACGTCGCGCTCAAAAGTCACCTCCACTTTGGCTGTTTGTGCCCACTTCAGTGGGGCTACACACAGTGGTTTTCGATTTTGGCAAAGCGAGGTTAGACGCCATGAAGATGATGAAGGGTGTTTATGTTCCAGAGCAAAGTCTGTTGCCAAAGCATTCGCCGCTCACGCATTCACGGGCCTGGGCGCTGGACCAATTCAAATTCTGCCAACTATGGTACGGATACACCATCAAATAACTCTTGCCCATCTTCCTCCCTCCAACTTGCCTCCGCACACTCACAAAAGAGCATCACCAAATGACTACCCTCACTGGCTAAGTTGCTCTCCGTCCCAAATTCTTGACCCCCACCCCTACACACGACATAAAAATCGTCCCATGGTCATTCTCGGGCCGAATGCTGAACGTGATTCCAAAGAAATCCTTCACATGACGCAACATCTGCACTGCATATGGCGTGAGAGGCCCCAGCCTGACCTCGTTTATGAGCTCTGGGCCCAATGCGCACAGCAGTATGAGCAGGGCCTGGTGGCACCCGTCCACCACCCCGCCACGGTGCACTTCCTCAAGCAAGGCAGCGGCGGCGTGCTTGCCAATGTCTTCCGGAACCACCAGTACTTCTTCAGCAACTTGCCCCTGAAGGGCCGATGGGCCTTTGCCCTGACCCTGTCGGTATGAGGCGCACGCCTCTGATGATACGTAACAACCAGACGTCGTCTCTGCCACAAGGTTGATCCCATAGCCAGGGCTGTTGCCGGATTGTTTGCCGCTGACGGCGTCGGTGAAGATGTACACGTCTGCCAGGAGGCGGTTCAGAATGCCGCGCGCGCCATCGACCATCCTGCGTACCCAGTCGCCTCAAGAGTGCCAAGAATAGTAGATGTTGGTAACATGTTCCAGCCACGAGCCATGGCACGAGTGTGTGATGATTGGGCGCCTACGAGGCGCATATTTCTTTAGCGCTAAGTGGCGCCTCACTGGCGCCCACTCCCGCCACCCGCGGGGGCCAATTGAGACCCACGCTGGTGGCGGAGCGGACGCCCGCTAGGCACCATTCGTTTGGCAATTGTGCCAACCCAGGTGGCGCAAAATGGCCCCCTGGGCTGGCAGCAAGACGAACCCGCGCAGCCCGCCAGCGCTGTGCGGCACAGCCTGTGACCTCACCCCAGCCAGTTGCGGCACGCGCCGGTCCTGATCCAGGCCCCAGCCCCACGCGGCGAGAGAGGGAGCACCCAGGTCGACAACGGGACGGGCACCGAGAGGTTCCCGGCGACGCGACGTGACTTTACCGTTAGTGATGCTTCCCCACCGCTCCCTTCCGCTCCCCAAGCCCCGATTTCCGGTCATTCCGCTCCCCAGCCCCGCATTTCCGCTCTTGGTTGCTCCCTAGGCCCCGATTTCTGCTACTTTACGGTGATTTAACGGACGGTAACGCGGACCGCAAATTAGCGGACGGTCGCGCCGACCTCTATGATAAACACATTCAGGCTCGGCGACCCCACGTTCGTGAATACGGACGTTTGCATTCCCAACTGCCCTTGTTGCGATTTTCCTCAATGTACTGCCCCAGAATGACACGAGTCAACATAGAAATGGGCATCTGAATGAATCTACCAAAAAAATCCAGATTTCAGCGACAGGGCTGATGACCTTCAAAAAGGCATACTATGACTAGACCTCAACGTCAAACTTTTCCACTCGTAAACTGTTTGTGGTATGCAAGGCTCAAACACATATGTTGTGCGCAAAAGTCAATACATAGAGGATAAAAGCACTGGACCCGTTCACCAATGGGTCTGTACATCCATCATTAGGTCTTCTAGTGCAGTGTGGACATCATATGACCTCTAGTGTTGATACTCCATGCATGACGCGTCCCTTGGGGAAAGCGGCAGCTCCCACCTGTTGGTGTTCTGTGGCGACACCTTTGTCGAATATGCCACCCCGCGTATCCTCTTAACCATGCCTTCATCTGTCCACTTTATGCTTGGCACCTCACGAACAACAGGAACCCTCAGGCGCACCTCTCCCCCTCCTCCTGGCCTGGCACCTCTTTTCACAATTTGCAGCTCAAGGCCATCCTCTATTCCACACAGCTTCCTTATCAGCGGTAGGGTCACAGTCCGCCATGTGTCTATCCCTTGATCAGTGTCGTCATTCGTTATGCCCTGGAGTGTGATGGACAATGGCTGCACACCGCACGATACAGAGCTTCTGTCACTGTCTATTTGCTTTGGGCAGTGGTAGATGGCCTGGAAACCATTTAATTGCTGGTGATGGAGATTAATGAACAAAGGGAGCAAAAGGACACAAAATAGAACGTGTTCCCGATTCTGGAGACAGCCTGACCAAACGGCATCCAACAAACATGTCCAGCGGTACGCATGTGTGCCAAGGCATGCAATCGCAAGGGCAAGTAGTTTTGTGTGCTGGCCAACAAAACTATAGTCCTTTCTTATGCGAGCACCATAATGAGGACAAAAAGTCTGGCTCTATCCATTCTGTTGAAGCCACTGCATTCTGTTGAGATAACCTGCTTGACACACACGTAATCTGGCTGCATATAGCCATGGACATGCAAACAATGCAACATTGCTGGACATGGACACACAGCACTGTTCTCCATTGTTTCATCATTGAAACAGCAAACCCATGTCAGTGAGCATGCTTATACAGCTACAATACAACTTGCAGTGTGGTTTCTAACTCAAACCTGGCCTGACACTCCCCAATCCATGGCACACAAAAGTTCAAACGAATGTTCTCAATACGAAAACAGATCCAGGAAAATACGTGACAAAGAGCTTTCACACTGTGACATTACTGCAAAGCAATACACAGCAGCACAACGATGTTGCAATGATGCAGACCATGGGCTGGATGCCAGAACTGCTCTCCTGTGCCTCCAATATGTAGAAGCAACAGTACACACGGTGGAACTACCTAAGCAGCATCCTTGAAATGCCCACACAAAGTTTTTGGCAAAAAAGGATGCAAATCTGACCTTCTTTCCAAAGATAGCCAGGAGAACAAGGGGCTCCAGAAAGTAGCCAATGCTTCTTGATGTCCCACAATTATGAACCAAATTTGAGCCCCCCAGCACGAACCCAGGTCGATAACGCAAGCACGTACCTACCAACACACAGCATGGGTTCACTTCTCCTGGCCTGGCCTCTTCTTGGTTTCTGCAGACAATACTTTAAGGGCTACTAAGATGTCATTACAACTCACAGTTCTGTGGCTCCAAGGTCTTGAATGTATTGAAACGCTTGGTTTGTTACATCTCATTGCAAGATGGGCTTGTATTATTGCTGTGTGCGCAACATGGGTTTTGTCATTTCCATCTCAGAGGGCAATGCCACAAGCTGCCATTTTCTGGCAAACACTGGTGGAGGACCAGCAGATTGGTTGTGCATTTCTGGCTTGAAAATGTTGTTTGCCTGTCAATTTCCAAGCGCTTGCAGTGGAAACTCATGTGCCACTTGGGACACTGGTGGGACGCCCAGTCAACAGGGCCTTCTGACTTGCTACCTGGTGGTGGCCTTTAGGAGTGGTGGATTAGCTGTTACTCACCCACATGGTACTGTGAAATCTGCAGTACCACAGATTATTAGTCAATAGGACACAAAACACAAAGCACTTGCATCTTGCAGACAATATGTGCACAGTTTGATGTGGTGTGTGGCTGAAGTCGATCAACAACTGCGGTCCCTCTCTCTCTTGTTGCAGGTCGCCCCAATCAGGGGGCTATGTTTTGGCACATGGGCATGTTGGAGATTTACAAGCACAGCCAGCACACCATAAATTCTAATCAGAACAGCCCACACAGGGAGACATCGCTGTTTAGGGGGTGGATATGGAGATTTCATAACTCATGTCCAATCTGGGGTGGAGGACCACTAATTGTGGGCATTGGGATGCAAACCAACTCTCTTGAGAGCCAAAATACAGATTACATCGGCAGGTGTGAGTATGTGAAATTTTAGGTGACGGTTTTCACAGTTTTCGCCTTGTGATTGTTTGCCATAAAGGCCGGTAGCGCGCATCGGTGTGTAGATGGCCCTACTCCCAGAGGGCTGGAAGGCTTGCAGGCCGCCAGAGATGTCGCAGAAAAATACAAGTTTCTGAAAGGGGCTGGCAGTTCCGAGTAATTGGGTCACACAAGCGCTCAAGACTGATGAAATCCACTGGAGACTGAAAGGGAAGTGCGAGAATGTCGAGCGACACACGTGCCAAAATTCGTTGGACTTGTAAATCTGCAGCAATTTTGAGGACTTCCTTCGTGAGGGTCCCGGCCGCCCCACCTGTCTGGTTGATCTGCACAACGCAGCCGTCCGATATCTTTTCCGTCAGCCGCAGCAGGCACGCCTCAAAGTCCCTCAGCCCGGGGTCTTCGTCCTTCGAACGGATCTGGTCGATGCGAATAGGGCGCCCCGTCAGCGTGGAGCAAACCAGCCGCTGGCGGAAGCACTCGCTCCCCGTGAACTTCAACATCAGGCGCGCAAAACGGGCGCCCGCGACCTGCGAGGCCCGGCCGCCACTTCGGCTGGCCCTGGTGTAGTACAAGGACGACGGTTATGTGCAATACAACTGCAACATTGCTGACGAGGCAACCAGTTGATCACAGCGCTGTAGAGCAGCAATACCGCTTACAGACAATGCAAATCTTTTCATAATCGCCATGCAGAGCTCCGGCCCTGGAGAAAAGAGCAGATTTCCTTGTTTGGCGGACCCTCCAAGAGAAACGCACGACCACCCCGGGCACCTTCCCAGGCGAAATTGTAGTTGTCACAGCTCTATAATGCTGCCAATGGCAACAATTCCTATATACTAACAGTTACTGTCACTATCTGCATTTCGTACAGCCTAGTTATTAGCCAATTGTCCCAGCAATTATCAGAAAACACAAGGAACGAATTGCGGAGTTCTTGCAACGCCACCCTTGGCCTTACATCACTGCCAGAAAACACCGTGTTCGCGATGCCAACTGCGATGCCATTTCGACACAAAGTGGCGCTTTCACAGTGGCTGCGATGACAAAGAAGTGGATGTGATGGCATCTATTAGTGTCGAATGGCATCGCAGCTGGCATCGCAAAAATGTCGAATTCTGCTGGTGCATGCCACTTGCTGCTTATGTGCAGTGCAGAACAAAGCACTGTCTCCATTCCGTTTCACGCCTTCGTTTCTGTGCCCCCAAACGTGTTTATGTGTGGACGTTGCATTCGTGGAAAACACCCCCTTCATTCCGCGCTTCTGCACGTCATTATTGTTGCTATGCAGGTGGCAACCTGCAGAATCCATACGGCTGGCGGCAGTTCCCCCACCATTTATGCAGCATAAACATTTACATGTGCTGCAATGGCCATCGTGCGGCACATTCGACAACCAGAACACCTCCCGACCTTCCCCTGGGCGACTACCCCCGACAGACGACCCACTCGCGTCACATGTCTTCTGTGGTTTTGACACCCCTATGCTTTCCCGCACACTCCTATCCTTCAGCTGGGCCCCTTTCGCCTTCCCCGATTAGAAAAGCGAGGTCTTCTTCATGATGCGGAAAAACTCCTCCTCGTTGACCTCCCCGTCACCATCCCGATCTGCCTCGTCGATCATTTCTTGAAGCTCCTCGTCGGTCATGTTCTCCCCAAGTTCCTTTGCCACGCGCTTCAGATTCTTGAAGGATATTTTGCCTGTGTTGTCGTCGTCGAACAGACGGAAGGCTTTCATGATCTCTTCTCGAGAGTCCCTCTCCGACATTTTGGCCGTCATCATCTGGAGGAATTCCTCGAAGTCGATCGTCCCCGAGCCATCCTTGTCGATGTCGGCAATCATCTTTTTGATTTCTTCTTTCTTTGGCTCGAATCCAAGTGCCCTGCAATGCACAACACAGTTGTTAGGAAGCAGATGCACCGACTCCGAGCGCACAAAGGTGGTCGCGTGGACAGATTGTTCATTGAAGCAGGTTCCCCACGAGGAAAGAATTGGATTGGCAAGCTGCCAAAATCTCACCTCATGGCGACCTTGAGCTCCTTGGCGTCAATGGTTCCGGATCCATCGGTGTCGAACAAGTCGAACGCCTCTCTAGGAAACAGCACATTGTGCAATTTATCAGTCATAGCACCCCCGAGCCTGCAGAAGACGCCGTGCCAATGCAATTTCGTTTCCAAGGAAGGCCCTGCAGGCCAACACCCCAGTCCCTGTGTGGCGACCGAGGACTTCTGGCCAGTGCACTTCCAACGAACCTCGTCCTCTCGCGGCCTGATACAGCGACAATATACACAATCCGTATGGCAGTTGCAGCGGCAGTGCTGTTTGGCACTTCTTACTTCCGAACCCGTGTCGGACTCAACGACTAACAGCGCCGGTGTGGGTTTGCATGCGCAACTGGATGGCATTTTCAGGCTCATTCCGCCCACGGCCGCTCAGCGGTGATCGGCGGAGCATTCTCACCGGATCTCTTGCTTCTGCTCTTCTGTGAGGCCTGTTCGATTCTTCTTCTCCCTTCGAGCGGCGATTGTTTTCCTGTAGCTTTGCTGTGACAGCACGCGCTCGGGACGTCAGCACGCCACGCTGCACTCCGTATGCTCTAGCTCGTTCGTCAGAAAACACCCGTGCGACAAAACATAGCAGGATTCCTGTTGCAGGACCCTCTGGCCCAGAGAAGGCGGGCGACGGACGCGCCACCGTCCCAGTACTGGCATCAAGAGCGCCCAGTTTGCTTATCTTCCCTTCGCGCCGCGTCTGATCAGAGCCAGAACAAAGGGCCAACGGAAGAGCTCGCTCATCAAGCAACTTTTTGAATACGGCGCCGTGTGACACCCGGCCAAGCCAGCGCAAACGGCGCTGGCAGGCGTCCAAAGTTCTTCGCATGGGTGAAAGAGAGTGCGCGGGACGCCCTTTGGTTGGGATGTAGTTGTTCCAGCGTCTGCCCCAAGCCAGTTTATGGCCGCATTTCCGCGCCAAGTTGCCTTGACATCCATCATCAGCACCGTCGCGGGTCCGCAGCGCCCGCTGATGATCGCCGCCTGCCGTGGTACCGATGCGGCGACACCCAAACCTTTCCATCAGGAGATCTGTCTCGAAAACAGCTGCATATCCCTTTCTTCCCGTTTCCATCCGCCTGGGGTGCCGCGAACCGCAGTTTCATTGTCCCTTCGACCGGGGAAGCGATAGTCCTGACTCACCATCTTGCCCTGCCACTTGCGGTCGCTGACCTCCTCCGACCTGGACGGGCGCCTGAGGCCGTCAGGAGCCGTGCGCCGCAATCGAGGGCCTCGCTGCTCGTGGGCTGCGCCGGCCGCTCCGCCGCTCGCGGGTTTGGCAGAAACACACTGGCCTGCCAGATTGCCGCTTTGATCAGAATCGTCGTGTTTTACTGGCGGTCAGAATTGCCGGAATTTATGCGAAATCACCTCATTCCTCCTGGGGCGTCCTGTGACTGGACCAGCGTTTCGTTACATTCCCAAGATGGCACGGTGGAACCCAAGAGGACCAAAAGCGCAAGTTCGTTCACGGCGCAAGCTCGTTCGCCCCTGGTGCCCAGCAACGCCAGGATGCCGTCTCGAGAAGTGGTCACCCTACAATTCGGCTCCTATGCCAACTTGGCTGGAGCCTACCTTTGGAACACGCAGGTGCAGTGCGCGGCATCCAAATGTCGCAGGGTGTGCTGCCGGTCCGATTGCTGAGCCTGGCCGACATTTGACGCCGGGGGAGCTCATCGCTGGCGAATGCACTGCAGGCAGCGCTGTGGGAGCTGTTGTCAATGCCCCAGTGGCAGCCCTATGCGGAGGACCTCCCGGTGGAAGTGCTCTACCACATTCAGAACAGGGCTCAGGTGAAGGTCAGGCGGAGAAATGCGCTCGCATTGGGCAGTCCCCTGGAGCTTGGTCGCCCATCCCGACTGGATCAGAAGAGCTGAGACTTTCCTGAATGGATTTGCAAGCGATGATCACCACAATGACATCGCTGGCGTGGAAAGCATGGTCCACTGTGTGTGCCATTTTGTGTCACGATGTGCAGTCCGGGATGGGACGCCAGCCCTTCTGTTATTTAAAATTTTCCACAATGCAAATTTTGCATTTTAGTCACTGGTTGCTAGCATTTGAAATCCTCCACGGTCAGCTGCTGTCATGGACAATTTTCTACACAATCCATCAGCGTAATACCTACTGGGCACTGCAATATGCACAGAATGCCTGGCACAGTACAATAGCCCGTTTGATTTAGGAATGAGTCATTTCCATGGAAGAAAACCACCTCAGGCTTACTGCACAGTTGTGTGCCAGGATTCGAACCTCCATTGGACCACTGAGAAATGACCAACACCATGCTGGGCTTCTTGTTCCACTGATCTGATCTCGATTGCACGTCCCATGTGCAGGGCAGAACGATCGCCCAGCCCAGGCTGGTTTTGGTGGATAGCGCTGCTGCGATGGCTGGTAGGGTGCCAGTATTTAGACCGCTGGTGCTTGCTTTGAAAAGCTTATCTTAGCATGCCATGCAAATGAGCATTCCTGTTGGTAAAAAACACGACGCCACGTGGCTGCGCTCCATTGACCCAGACTATTGTCCAGGAAACGTTTTTTCTGCATCTTTACTGATCGCTCCGAGGCGTCCCAATTCAAAATGTTTTTCACTGGAACCAAATCACAAGGCTGTTTTTCAGTGGCGATTGAAATCACAAACAGAACTTGAAGTCATGATGTAAAATGATCTTCGCATTGAAGCATGGGAAGAGCGTTCTGGCACAGTTGTCGTCCCTCCTCACATGCAGCAACTGCTGTCGCAGGGGCGCCGCCCCACGAGGGTCCGCTGCCGGATGTGATGAGCTGGCAGGGGCAAGTGGAGGTACACAAGGCCGATGGACTTCATGAAGATAAGGCAAAGGCAGTGCAATGCAGAGGTGTTTAATGAACTTGTATGGACTGTCTCCTCTTCGTTTTTGCTTCTTTGTTTAGGCAAGGTTCTTGTGCAGACAGGCGCTCGAAGTTTTCATGCGCAGACAACCACTGTGGACTTTTGAGGAGAAATGGGCGAACAATCTATAGTAAACGACAGTTAGGGAGGAATGCCTGCTGTTACTTGCTGTGACATTCGAAAGGGAGTGTTTCATCAAGTTTTAACACGCGCAGTCCAAGGTTTGCCAGCTTCTTGACTTTACCGTGTGTTCATTGAGCAATGGGTGTTGAGACTCTGGCATGATGCTTTTGCAGCCATCCATGTTATCATTCTTGTGGCCCGGGGTATATAGCACCACGTGTTTTTGTCAGCCATTAGGATAATTGGTATTGGTTCTGCCTGCTGGCCTTGTGGAAGGCATGCACAAACCCGGAGCTCCTGGAGCTGCTATTCTTTGAGCACCATGGATGGCAGCAACTCAGATAACTGTGGAGCCATGCAGGCATTACTGTCTGCGCTTGTCTGGCAATAGTGAACACAAGCTGCACTTGCAAGGATGCTGCCTGCTGTTCTTTTCTGTGGAGAGTCACTCGGATCTAGGGCGATGTATGCTTGTCCAAAACGAGTTGCTGGGGACCTGCCCCACAGCATCGTCTTCAACAGGCATACACACTGAGGGAGCTATGTGAGACAATGTGTGTCAAGGCCACTTTAGTCAGCCGTGTCGTGTGCCTGCTGAGCAGCAGTCATTTATAGTTGCACATAGCTGTTCAGGGTCACAATACTGCAATAGCACAAGGAGTGCATTTGAATCCAGTGTGGCGAATGTACGAGCCGGTGACTGTGAACACATGCACTGGGTTTCAGAGGTATGTGCTGCTGATTGCGCTCGATTTGCACAATTTACACCGTTTCCACTGCTTGCATGTGCAGGCAGCGCTGTGTTGGACAACAAGGAGGGGCATGATCCATCATGGTCACAAATGATGGCGGTGAGCAGCCTCGCACCTGGAAATAAGTGTTATGCCTTCTGACATTCACTTCTGCTGCATCCAATTATTCGCATATTGCTCTTTGGGGCCACTGACTCTGGCCAACAGAGAGCTGTGGAGGTCTGTAAATGTCTTTGTCTGCATGGCTCCAAAGCTGCTGTGCCACAACTCCATGTGTGTGCACTGCTAGGTACCCAGGTGCTGCCTATCAGCATTGCACAGTTTCTTCATTCCCTTTCAATTAGTCCTTACTAGCAGAGGTTCTGTAGATCATGGACCACATCAGGGGTTTTATTCAATAGCATGGGGGCATAGTTAGCACCCTGAGCATTACCAAGGATGGCCAGTGTGTGTTGCACAAGGGTTATGCTAGATACTGCCGGGGTTAGTGTGCCACTGCCATGGCTCGTATATTCAGGTTAATTGGCACAGGGTGCCGCAACACAGTGCAGTAAGTCGCGGAAATGCTACTATCTTACGTGCACCCATGCTATCTGAAGTCACCGCCCCCAACCCCTGCATTCTGCATCATGTCGTTGAATAAGTACCCCACTCCACACACCCCTGTGTTGTCGCATTGTGTGGCAATGCTTACCGGCACCCCAGAAACTTGACACATTGCACACCTAGTCGCATGAAACTGGCAGGACGTCGCAGTGTCCCCTCGTTATTGGTGCCAGCCTTGATGCTCAGTGCTGGGGAAGTGCTATCCACTGTGTTCTGTGGTCTATTGTTGTTGTCAATCAGCTGCATGAAGCCTCAACATTGGAAGGTGTTGTGTCTCTGTCCCAAGCTGTTGGCTATCACTGAAAGTGGTCAATATTGTCTACCTGAGACCAAGGAGAGAATGTGTGCATGGTACTACTCTGAGTGCAGTAGTTGACGTCAGTGCATCATACCAGGAACCCATGTGTGTGCCCCCAGCATGTTATGTCCCAAACTGGATGTGCTATGGCTGTCAGAAGAGTCCAAACTGCCAGAGGTTGTTGAAATCTGGTGCATGCAAGGCTGCTTGGAGCTCTTTACATTTGCAGCAGCCAAATGCGTTTCAGGAGTCTGGAGAGAGGGTTTTTGTTCGCAATATTGATGCTGTCCGATGTTTCAAAATTTGTATCAGGGCAAGTTACATTCAAGATCCACATTGCTGACATCCACGAGCGGACAGGATGGCTTGTTCTCACGCCACCCAAGCAGTGCTCGTGGGGGTGAAGGTAGCAGCGGCGGCATTGCCCAGGACAGTGAGGAGGTACTTGAGAGGGTCAGGTATTTTGCGGAGGCATGTGACTGGCTGCAAGGTAAAAACTGCAATCGAAAGTGTGCTAGGATCCCCACCCTGAGTTCTTGTGATGGGTGTCTACAATACTTGCACCAAAAAGCTGGAGATTGAGAGGTGTATATGAATGCAACCCTTTGATGAGAAGAGTTGGATGCCAGTTTCAAAACATACCATGCAGTCTAAATGCTTTTGTGGGAAAGGCAGTTGTGAAAGCACGCTGGTTGGCAGCATCGTATAGCCTGATCAAGAACACAAGCCCTGGCACAAGTGGTGAAATTTGTGACTGGCTAAAGCATGCCAAAGTGTATTGGCCTTATGCATCTTCTCAGGGCACCGCCCTGGCAAGGAAGTGCATCCATTGATATTATGGGCGCTGATGCCCCATATTGCACCCAATATATGCTACTGATTTATCACAAAGACAACCTGCTGTTCCTTCACTGAGCAGCTGTGGCACATGGGCATAGATACAGCACTTTCCCATCACCACCATCATTGTGTGAGAAAAGGCTCTGTAAGTTGCAAACATCCTTCTTGGGAGGGAATGCTTGACTATGCTTGTCTTCACAATAGCTAACTTTGGACATGTGAATGCACTTGTGCTGCGCACATCAAGCACTATTGGAATAACATTATGTGTCCCATTCACCCTGATATGCCGTTTTCAATATGCAGGTTTCCAGATCTTGCACGATGACGTAAGCCCCTATGGCCCATTGGCAACTGCAGTTTTGTGGGACCTACGGGATCAGTACTCAGGTGCACCTATTACCCTGGTAGGCCTCCAGCCACCGTTGGGCCATGAGCTCACCCGCATGCAGAGGAATAGGTGCGATGTCAGAGCACGCACTGGCCAGGAATGGTTTTGCGCTCTTACTCCTGTGGCAGAAAGTTAGCTATCATGCTTAGCATGCCCCAGGTGCCTGTGGCAGTTGCCCAATTGTTGTCTTAATGCCCATTGATTACAATTCTGCATGGGTAGATAGTCACTTTCTTGGCAAGAGCCGTTTTGCTTGTTTTGCTAATGTACTTTCTTTCGTGTTGGTGTTGTTTCTGTGCAAAGAGCATTCACGGCATCTGCCTGGGCTTAGTTGTGTTGCTGACAGGCAGTGCGGAAGTTATTCTCAGACATTCCATGATGAGGCAGTTGCTTTCGCTCCAACCAACCTGGCAACAGAAATGTTTGACTCTGAATATGTTGTGTGGTTTGCTGAATACAGGGCAAGCATAAAACGGGGCATGTCACTTGGGAATCTTGCTGAGCCATGTGCATTGTACATTCCGCTTGGTGAACCATCCTCCTGGCCTTCAGGGTTGTCTTTGTCCACCACACCATGTTCTTCGCTTGCACACCTTCACGCAATGGCCTTGACATCTGCCACCCTACCTTTTCGTCTCAACCCATCCCAGGCCCATGAGCGAGGCACCCCCCTTGGCGAGCCGATTGGTGCTACAGACTTACAGGAACTGTGCAAAATGGTGTCTGGCAGAGGAGCCCCATTGGGAGCCCTTTCTGCGTCGATTCCACCCCACTTTCAGCAGCGGCCTTTTGCAGCAACAGCAGACAGCAGGATGGGTGGCGTGGACCAGGAATGTATAAGCCAAGGCAGCTCACAGGCTGACCTGATTTCACTCTCCCCTGGGATGAAGGCATGGGATGCAACCCTACTGGCAGAGTCTGTCGTATGGCTGGGTGAGTGGAACAGCTCTACTTCTCTGCTGCTGGTGTACTGTGGATTACGTGGAGAGCATGCACCCAAGAATGGATGGGACTGGTGGGATGTTGCATAGTGTGATCACCCAAGGAGATCGACCTGCAGCAGCGTGGACTCTTGTAATACTGATCAGGACACATCCGAACCTCTAGAAGCAGTAAACCTTGCCTGGGATTGGATACCAGATCACTGGGCAATTGGAACTGCACATTCTGTAGCATGTCAGTCTAATTCGTGTAGAGTCGTGCAACTGAAAAATGCACAGAATTGCTTGTGCTTCATGGGACCTTGGCATCCAAATAAATGCCTGAAGGTCGGGCAGAACAGGATGCAAAGCGCAGAATATTCCAGGGGCACTGCATCACCTGCACTCAACCATCCTGCCAAATTTTGCACCTTTTCGCGAATATGCATTGTTTTATGACACCCCCCTGCATGGTCTGCAGTTCTCCTTTCATGCCAGCTCAATGAACCCAGTAAACAGTTGTTCACTATTGCACATTTGGTTCAAACCCCATCAGCACCATGGGCCCATGACTAGGGCTCTGGACATGTCGGAATCACAAACATTCGTGGATGCTGTGCTGTGGGCAGGGCCAAGATGTGCCACAACACTCACCCCCATGCTTTGTGATGCTGCTGCTGTCTTGCTGGACTCGGGCTTGGCCCAGGAGCACAGGAGGTGTGTGCGGCACCGCTGCCTCTTTCCAACCCCACTGCCCACACTGACACACTCTCCTGGTGTCCCCACGCCTTCCCAGGCCACGGCTGGAAGAGTCTTGGACGGAGTGTCAGTAGGAAGTCCCGGAGGCTGTCATGAGGGCTGGGGGCAGACACAACGAGATGAAGCTATTCCTGTGCTCACTCGGCTGAGGTCCACCCCAGAGTTTGGGCCGATGCTGTTAAATGCCATCAAAGAGTTCGAGGTGGCGGCAAGGACGACGTGGGGTGAGAGCGAGTTGAATTCGTGGGGAGTTGAGATGGAAGACAAGGAACAAATAGTTGACAACTTGCGCAGTTGGGCCTGCTCGTATGACACGGACATCGGTGTGGATGACCTCGACTGGTAGCCATAGTGCAGTGGGGCGAGGGAGCTCTTCTCCCGTAGATTGATAGGATTCCTGCCCTGTTGGGCCACCCCGTGTCCCAGTTGGGCGTGCAGTGCGGGCCACATGTTGCCATCCTTCAAGATCCTGGACAACAAATCCTTCGCCTGCACTTGGAAAGCACCATCTCTAGGAAAGGCGTCGCAATCGGGTGCTTAGTCATGCAATGACTGCGCTCACGATCTTTTACATATTGGCATGGGTGAATGTGTAAAGTAATCCAACGCACAGCTGCCTTCCTCCCATGCTCTGTAATGCACTTGGCGTCAGTAAACGCCAGGATTGAGTGCATGATTGTCAGAGCATGGGACGAAACATGCACTGACAGTGCTGAAGATCTACGGGCTACTCAGTGTGATGAGGTCTACGCCCCAAAATCACCACAGACACAAATTATGAACCGTTCACAGCTTGCGCCTAGTCGCTTTCTGCTGACGAGCAGGACAAAAGGAGGGTCTGGCACAGTCTGACAGGCACTGCACCCCTACTGCGCTTCCACCCCATCGGCAGTACTGCCAGGGCATCAGGGCGGCGTACCAATGCAAATGATTCCCCCCTGTAACGGACATGTCGAGCTCATCCTACCGCCCAGACAACATCGGGTGGCGCAAGCATGTTCTCTGTGCATCAATATCCCTTCACATCAGGCATCCTTCACATTTCTAATAAGCCCACGGATGTTGACACCCGGCCATTGGCAATAGCGGATATCGCCTGCCCATAACATCCACCAGAGCCCCCTAAAGAGATATTGTTCGATGTGCCTGCAAAATGACTCGTTTCACAAGTCATCTTTGCAATGAAAGGCCATCAAAAATGAGCAAGGAAAAGGTCTGAAAGACCGTTAGAATACAGGGCCCACCGTACTGCAAAAGAAAGCAAAAAAATAGAGAAAGAATGCGCAGCAAAGTACCCAAAATAGTGGGGAAACGCTGCCAAAATTTGCCCAAACTATTGTTCAATAGTTCAGGGGTGCGACGGAGAAACAGGGGATGTGAAGGGCTGCGCCATGCGGATGCCACCCCGCTGCCCTCCTATGAGTTCTGTGGCCCCCAGGAGCTCTGCGACCTTAGGCGCAGCTCTGGGATTTGCGGCTTGAGTCTTGTCGCGACTTTTGTGCAGTTTTCAGACTAGATTCGCACCTTGGAACGTGTGAATTCGCAGCCAGGCGGACTGAGAGGGGGGCACGTCATGTGTTGTGAGAATTCGGACCAAGAGTGTGTGCATGAGAGGTTGAAGCACTGATCGAACTTCGCTTTTACATGGCGGTTTGTTGGGCAGTTCCGGAGGGAGTTTTGGACGGTTTCATAGAGAGTTTTCGAATGCTTTCGTATGGAACCGCGTTGGAAGCGAGTGAGGCAGGTTGTTGCCCCTCGCTGGCTATTTAAAGGGGCTGCCCACGCCAGGGGGTAGGCTGGACCCCGGACAACAAGTCCTGGTGGTTGTAACCGTACGATTTGCTTCGTTTTCGTCTCCATGTGCCTGCTGGTCGGTCTGGTAGGCTGAGAGGTAACGACTGGCCCACTCGCGTGGCGGATCCAGGCATCTGGACGACCCATCGCTGACGGACAGCGGGATCGAGCACCGAATCGCTTCGGTGTCGCAGCAGGTGGTGGTGGCGGGCATGGCGATGACTGATCGCCGTGTGGGGGAAGGTCTCAAGCGGACATGTGAGCTGGCGCTCCTGGGTTTGGTCGCTGCGCTGCACCTGTGAGTCATGGGCAGTGGCAAGTCGAATGTGGCTTCGGTGCGCATGGGATTCCCGCTGCCGGGTGCCAATCATGATGGGGCGCTGTTGGGGCCATGGTGGGGAGGTGACGGCTTACATGTCCGTTGCGGGTGGAGTACATGCGTGCGAACCTGTTCCATCGCACCAGTGATGCATGTCGGCCGGGGTCGTGATGGGAAGAAGTTGATGGCCAGTGTGACACATACGAGGTCTGGGCCAGGCATCACATAACCACAGTGGAGGCGGATCGGTCGGGGCTGGCGCGCCCTAATGTGAATGACCGATCATACCAGCACCCCACATGACCGTTACTGCCTCACGTGAGGTGCAAGCGGTGGGGAGCGCCGAGGGGGCCGGGTGACCGGCACCGTATTGCCGCCATAATGTACTACTATGGGTACGGCGGTGAGTACAACGTCCTCTTAAGTACTAGAACACAGCCAAGGGGTGCGGGGAGTACTTCGGGGCACGCCACCGGTGCAGTGGGTGAGCGTGTGGCGTACTACCGGTTGCCTAAAGTACTAGAAGTGGTGATGAGTATTCAAAGACAGTGGGTGGCATCCAAAGAAACTGTGGAGAAGCTTCCCATCTATCTTTGGACCTCATGCTTATTCATTTTGCCCATTTTGCGAGCATGATCGAACAATATGAGGTTGTCAGGTTAAAGGTCGGTCATGAGCCACCTGTTTAGTTGCACCATTGCTGTCCACAACATTGTTGGCTGCATGTGTGGAGGTCACAACACCAGCCATCGCCAGCCATTTTTGGATATCACCACCACTATCTGGCCAGTATCACTCTTTGTTGGTTGCACTGAGCTCATGGCACTCTGTTATTGGCTTCCATAGTGCTCACGGGCAGTTGATAGCTCTGACTGCTTGTGGCAGTTCTTGTTCACTTCTCCTTGATGGATGGCAAGATCCGTTGCTGATCTGATTCACGAATATCTGCACATTTAATGCATTTCCCACTATGGATGGTGCAACTGTTGCAATCCCTGATACACAGTGACAAAGGCGCTTTTGCCTCGTGGGCGCTCAGTGCTTTTACCTCCTCATCAAGGTTGCATTCATAATCGTTTTCATCAGGTGCTGCACTACCATCCATAGTGTTACGCTTTCGTCCTTGGTGGGTTGGGACACCGGTACTTAGGCTTTGCGTAGAAAAACCCCTGGTGGAACAATCTGCCTTAGGCAGGGTTCAAACTCATAGCAAGGTGGACTGGTTTCGGCGTTCGCCACAACGCCTCATCAACACCCTTGTACTAGAGTTCTCCTATGGGTATTTACAACCTATTTGCCACACTTGGCTACTCCCACTAGGCCTCACGGCTTGGACTGTAACACTTCTCCCCCGCCCTAGAAGGGCCGTCCCAGCACTTCACTTTATGTACTTCGTGCCTCGGGGGGAGTTGGCTCCGAAACCATTTGTTATGTGAGGATTGTTAGTGTGGGGCTCTTGCCCTCTTTGAGCTATGGACCCGCCTCGCCGGGCGCCTAGGTCCTTACGGGGACCTAGGCGGGACCACCCCGACCTACTCCCGTATCATATATTGTCGTATAAGCTGGTTGGGGTATCGTTACCATATCTTGGGCAGGGCGTCCCCCACACCAAGGGGTCAGTAGTAGGGCGTCCCCCACGTCAGGCCAGTGTGTGTAACACATAGGTTCCATACCTTGTTTACGAGAATGGGTGTATGCGGATGTATTGTAACTTGCAATAAATGCAAGAGGTCATATTATGATCTTACATTAAATTTGTGTGCATTATTCATGCTTCCAATTTGCTCCCTCACAGTGAGAATCAAACTTTAGAAGGATACAAGCATCGACTGTATTGACCAACATTGAGCCACAAGATCCACACTGTGAGTTTCACAAAACCCTACAAGGCATCGGCAAGTGGATCTTATGGTATCTGAAGCAACTTGTTGTGTCTCTTAGCGCCAGGGCATGCTCTTCCTATTTTTGGCATTAACTATAGTAGAAAAGGAGAAAGCAAGCTCGTTTGCACATATTCAAATGCCATCTTCGGGCTTAGCATGTCATTGAAAGGTATGCACATGTATGCATATTATACTTAATTAGTCTAGGTTCTAAAGGCTCTAGATACGCTATCCACTGGCCAATAATGTTATGTAGTTTTTGTTGTGCTTAGCATCAATTTGGTGCTAAGCAGAGATGACCCCCCCACACCACCCACTACCCACCACCGTCCTGAAGCCAAACATATATGCTGGACTTGTAACGAGACGTACAGAGTCGCCCGGGGCCACCGGGCACCTTTCCTTTAAGCCATCGTTGGGTGTTGAACATCGGGTGGCTGGGTGCAAGCCATTGGAGGCCTTATATTGCATTTGACATTCCACACATTTTGTACCGTTTGTCGGCCTCCTAAGTGCATGTTTTTCTTGCCTATGACTTACTTGTGTTGTGTGTTGATCTTTGCTTCGGAGACTCTATATTATCTTTTCACAATATAGAAAAGAGCCTCAGATACACTTGACTAGGAGGGGTGCCCTTGCATGACTTGTTTCTTTTTCTCTTCTGTAACAAATCTTACCTCCCACCCCCCCACCCCCCACCACTCCTCTTCCTTAGCATAAACCCATATGATGCAGTTGCATCTTAGGTGGGTGTCTACTCTAAGAGTAAAAAAGAAAAGAACCTTTTTTTGGCATATTTGTTACCTTTTCTTCAGCTACAAGATTGTTTTTTTTATACCACCTAGGGGCGTGTCCAAGAGTGTGGTGTAAAGCATAGGGGGTAGTGTGTTTCGTTGATTATAGGTATGTGGGTTATACAATAAGTATTAAAAGATAATCTCATTCCTTAGTTGAGCTTAATAAGAACCCATAGGTTCTTGAATAAGGCTATTTGGGTTAGCGGTAGTAGAGATATAACCATTAGAAGTTCTAGCACTTAAGGTCCCCTCTTCAACCGTACTAGGAATAAGATACTATCGATGCGGTGACGTTGTTTGCATTGTCACATGACACGGGGCATGCCAAAGGGTGACCAAAGGTGGGCCCGGCTAAATGGGGTTGGGACGGGAATGGGAAAGGTGTCCGTTCCCATCCCAGGAATGGACCCGTTCTTGTTCCCATCCTAGTCCATCCCAGTCCGTTCCAGTTCGTTCCTGGGCTATTCCCCAGGAACGGATTTGGACCGGATCTGCATCAGGCAAGAATGGTGTTGGAATGGATCCGTTCCTATTTAGAGACAAATCCGTCCCA